TGCTTGATTTTTTCCAAGCTTTATGTTGCATAAGAGGGTTTCTTGCTGTTTGCATCAGTTCTGTATGCAGTGATAGGGATCTCACATTTTTAAACCCTCCCCTGCAGTTTCTCTGGCTCAGCTCTTCTGGCCAATTGCCTAACCTGCTGAAGTTCTAGGGGAGGAGAAAAAATTGAGAGAAGTGGTGTCTCCTTCTGGTGCCTACCTCTCGCCCCTGAAACTAAGGCCAGCCAATTCAGTGATGGGGCTTCCCAGGGCAGAAGAGTGGAGGTAAGCACAACACACTGCAGGCCTGGCTGAGTGGGAAGCAGAGCACTCAGCAGAAAGCCTGTTGGGAAGACATGACTTTCCCAGGGTGTGAGCACCTCCACAGTCACAGAGCAAACTAGGGAAGGGTACTGCTGGTCCTAAACAGTGTGGGTTCTCATCATGGAGTTTTTGTTCTTTCTTGAACTGTATCTTCTCACTCTCACCCCCCTCCTCGCCCCAATCCCCTGCCAATTTAAGATGTGTGGTAAATTTTACTGTCATTTGTTGTCTGCTTTTATCTGCAATAGGTTAATGTTTAAAGGATGCAATAGAAATGAATAAAGTGATGGCTCTTTTTTTATCTTACAGATCCTTATTCCGTTAAAAGAAATGTGGCAAGGACCTTAAATAATCAACCTGTGTTTCAGTATATTCTGCACTGTTTAAGGACAACGTATAAATATTTTGCTCTTCCATACAAAGTTACAAAATCTAGCCTTCCAAAGCCTCTGAGCCCAGTTACTTGTATTTCAGAATATTCTAAAGAAACGGAAAATCATGATCCAGATATCCAAGATGTCCAAGCAAAAGAAGATAAACTCAAAAACTCAGTTTTGGCTCAAGGTCCTGGTGCTACTGCCACTTCAACTTCAAACACCTGCAAGGCACAGCCACTTACTTTTAAAGAGACTGCTGAAAACTTTGGAAGCCCACCAGTGGAGGACATGGAAAATGTACACCTCAGTGTCCACCTGGAAAACTCAGGCCTTATACAGACGAAGGTCAATTGTGAGGGTTATGAGGGTATTACAGTACACTACCAGGAAGCAGGAAGTAAAAACAAGAAAGAGAAAATCAGAAGAGAGGGCAAGTATACTTTGGTGTCCAGTGCTCAAGGTCTAAGCAGTAGCAAGCACAGAGAGCCTGTAACCTGCAGCAGCATACTTAATTATGAGACAGATAGCCCTTGGGATTTAGCCAACCTCCAGAACTCTACAGCTAGAGAGTGCAATGAACTGGCTACTGTAGATGACAAGGCTGAAGACTTTGTACACAGCTTTGCCTCTTTAGTCCAGGGCCAGAAATCGGAAATCCTTCACTTTGATGAAGAGGAAGAGGAGGAGGAGGAAGAGCCCGGGGTCATCCTTAACCGAAGGGAAGATGAGGATGGTATTGGGAACGAAGATGAGCTGGACAACACCTGTACTGGATCAGGGGATGATGATGCCCTGTCAGAAGAGGACGAGGAGTCATTTGAGCCTGCTAAATATGAAGACTTGAACAAATGTGGAAAACATGTAGATGGAGCTCTCCTCTTAGAGTTTAATAAGATAAGTCTTAAGGAAGAAAATTCACCTGTGGGCCAGCCTGATTTCTTTTATGAATTTAGTAAACTTATCTTCACCAAAGGCAAGGTAATCAGTGCTGCTACTAGACATTGTATTGGGAGACTTTTAAACAACTTTAATGCATGAAATTTAAATTTTTATATAGTATAATTAAAATTCCCATTTTGTTTGTTCTTAAGAAGTTTATGTTTTATCCTAATACAACCACTTGACCTACTTCTTTTCTTAAGACTCATGGAAATATGCATAGGAGGAGGGGAATGCTGGTAGTAACTACCCTTTTGTCTTGGGGTGTCCAGGATGGTGTTCCCATCTCAGGTCATTTGGAGTGGTTGCACATTATATTTCATCTCTTTGAAAAGTGAAGAGTAGATTGTGTGCTTTAAAAAAATAGATTGCAGACTCTTATTTAGCAAATAAAGTTTAATTTTCAGTCTTGTTTTGCTTTGCCGTATCCCTACAGTCTCCCACTGTAGTGTGCAGCTTATGCAAACGAGAGGGCCATCTAAAGAAGGACTGCCCTGAAGACTTCAAAAGAATCCAGCTGGAACCTTTGCCACCACTAACACCCAAGTTTTCAAATATCTTAGATCAAGTGTGCATACAGTGTTATAGTAAGTTTTTCACATTTCTTTAGATTTGTCAGAAAAGTAAATCAAATTGTTAACCAGTTAGCACTCTAAGCATTTATCTCTTCTCCACTGTATCTGCAGTGTTCTCTGTCATACCTGTCCCATTTTGCATACAAAGTATATTTTGGTATTGGGTATAGAATCCAGGGCCTTACTCATGCTTGGCTTGTGTTCTGTTCTGCTGCTGAGCTGCACCCCAACCCTTTTGAGTGTTAAGATTATGGCACTATACTGCCATTTTCCACTGGTGTTCCTTTGAAATGTTTTTCTAGATACCATGAGCGATGAGCATAAATGTTCCTGGGCTAAGCAGGAAATTACTATACACTGCTCCCTCCCTTAGGGCCAGTAAATATCTCTTGATATTTCAGGGCATGTTACAATAAAGGTATATGAGCAATATTTTATCTCAAATCCAACATTTCCAAAATTTGAGCACAGAGTACTTTTTTAGATGATACTAACTGGTAGCCTACATGGCAGCCTTTAAGAAATACCTGTTTGGGAGAAACATTGGTTATTTCTCCTGTACAGAGAAAACATTTAAAGGAGAGGCATCCTACTGTTCAGATTGGAAGAACTTGAAACTCCACATTGCTCTCTCTTGAGACACAGTCTTGCGTGTGACCCAGACTAGTCTTGAACTCATGGGCTCAAGTAATCCTCCTCAGCCTCTCAAGTATGGGACTGCAAGCATGTACTACCATGCCTAGCTACCAGTAATTTAAAACAACAAAAAAAACAAAACAAAAACCTTTATGGAGGTTAAGAGCTATGAAAGAAAACTAGGTTCTTCTTATGGGAAAACACACATGTGCATGCTCACAAAACTCTGTATTTACATTCTGGTTGTCTCTGTGGTACTGAGGTACAGAGTTCTTGTCCAAATTAGTTTTCACTTCAAGCACAGTTCTCATGATAGACTCTTTTAAAAGGCATTTCTGGATCTGTAATTCTAGCTGCTTGGGAGCCAGAAATCAGGAGGATTGTACTTTGAGGCCAGCCTTGGCAAAATGTCCTTGAGACCCCATCTCAAATCAAAAGCTAGGCATTTTGATTTGTACCTGTCATCTCAGCTATGTGGAAAGCATAAATAGGAGGATCTCGGTCCAGGCCATGTGGCCTGAGCATAAATGCAAGACCCTATTAGAAAAATAACTAAAGCAAAAAGTGCCGGGGGTGTGGCTTCAGTGATAAAGTGCCTGCATAGCAAGAACAAGGCCTTGAGTTCAAACCCCAGTACTGCCCCCACAGAAGGCATTATTTATTTTAGATTGCTAATTCTGTCTACTGAGAAGGCACAAAACTTTAGTTCTTTTTTAAGCTTGGAAGTTTTATTTTCTAAAACATTGCTTCTCATCTTTTTTAAAGAATATCAGCAGTTTTCCCCCCTTCGGTATGTCTATATTTTTATTTTTTTTCTGAATATTTATTTTAAACAGAGGATTTTTCTCCAACTATCTTAGAAGATCAGGCTCGTGAACATATTCGGCAGAATTTAGAAAGTTTTATAAAACAGGACTTTCCAGGTAAGTAACTTTTGTTTTAATCTCAAAGAAAAGAAAGGTAATGTTGCTTTCCTTTTGAATGAATACATGTTATAAGCACATTGATTTTGAAGATAATTTAACATCATCATGACTGGGATTTAGGGGTTCAGGTTTGTGTTACAGCTAGGGTGGTGCTAGTTCGGCTAAATCCTGGTTTACCAACACAAAAGACATTAGCAATGCAAATGCTGGAAGTGAATTTCTCTTAGAATTAACTTAGGGTCAGCATTGTCATGGTGCATTTATTTAGAAAGCAGTATTTTTACATTATTAAATGTGTTGATACGGTCTACATTTTCCTTGAAATGTCCTTCCATTTAAGAATAAAGTAGCATTTGGTAGTCTTGGCATATATAGCTTATATACGTAGAAGTAAACGGGAGAAAAAAATGTAGAATAAATCACTCTTAATAAGCAAGCAAAATTATGAGATAGAATGGTTAACAACTGGGGTTTTCCATACATGAGAGGGTCATTTTAATCAAAAATTAAATGTACTAAGGTAATTAGTTTTTGTTTTTCATACATTCCTAACAGGAACTAAATTGAGCTTGTTTGGCTCCTCCAAAAATGGATTTGGGTTCAAACAGAGCGACCTTGACGTCTGTATGACAATTAATGGACATGAAACTGCTGAGGTACTGTGACCACATAAAACATGCATTTGCTGGCAGTGTGGCTTTTTTTTTTTTTTTTTTTTTCGGTCCTGGGGTTTGAAATCAGGACCTTGCACTTGCCAGGCAGGCGCTCTACTCCTTGAACCATGCTCCCAGCCCTCTTTGTTTTTTAAGTACTTTTGAGTAGGATCTCACATTTATGCCTGGACTGCAATACTCCTATTTATGTTTACCGCATAGCTAGGATGATGAGTGCGCACCACCATGTCCAGCTTTCTTATTGAGATGAGGGTCTCGAGAACTTTTTGCCCCAACTGGCCTGGAACCATGATCCTCCTTATCTCTGCCTCCTGAGTAGCTTGGATTATAGAAGACTCAAGAGTTTTTTATGCCTTAGTTTTGAGCCTGCATCTTAAGGATGTTTCTGATTTGGGAAAAACAACCAAAAGTGATCTATTAAAGAAGGCTACATCTGTCATTCCATTTATCAGACCTAATCTTGCTTATATATTATATATTCTCAGGGTTCATTTTTTAAATGGTTTTTTTCAAACTAGTTTTGAGGGCTTTTCTAAAGTAAAATTCCAAATATGTTCTGAGATTTGTATAACCATTAAAAGGGCTTATGTTGACAGGGACAGCAGAAATGTTTTTAAGTATGACTTACTTAAAATACTAATATTTGCTCTGTGACTTTAATTTTGTGCATTTTCAGCCAGTTCTGTGGAAAAATAATGTGAACTTAATTACTCTCTACAGCAAGACATCAACTCTTATTGAATACAATAGGGCACAGAGCCCATCTTATATACTCTGCACATATGGTACTTGTAACTGAGATAACTACAAATGGAGGTTCTCAAGTATGGTGCTGAGACATCATGAAAGCTTTGAGTCTATGAGCTTTCTGATTTTTTAGCCTTTATGCACCTCTAGAAGCAATTGGGACATAGCATGTTTACTTATTTACTGTTTTCATATCTTTAGGACATTTCCTATGAATACTGACTCTGATTCTCAACTCAAATGGATATGTATATATGTGTATGTGTGAAAAGTCATTATATATATACGTATGTCCACATATATATAATGATTATAAATTAATGTTATAGTTTCTGAAGATAATGGGAACTTTAAACAGTTTAGGAACCTGTCTTCTAGTTTTGATTCTATTGTTTGTACCATCTTTGTTTTAGGGGTTGGACTGTGTAAGAACTATTGAAGAATTGGCAAGAGTCCTCCGAAAACATTCAGGTACCTCTGTAAACTTGTTCTAGAAATAGTTTTCTTTTTTTTTTTTCCAGTGTTACCGGACTTTGAACTCAGGGTCTTAAACTTGCTAAGCAAGTACTGTGCTACTTGAGCCATACCTCTAGTCTTTTTTTTGAGTCCAGGATCTTGCTATGTATCCCAGACTGGCCTTGAACTTGCAGTCCTACCTCAGCTTCCTGAGTTCTAGAATTAGGTGTGCACCACCATGCTCAGCTTTTTTGTTTTTTTTTATTGTCGTTTTTCATATGTAGAATTGACAGGTGCCATTGATTGAAGCAGTATAGTGACTCATTTACAGAATATTTGCAATATTAGTGTTGTTTAAAAAATTTGTGTGGTTAAGTATTAAAAACAGAAATTGGTGACAATTTGTCTGCTACCTTGATGTTTTATTTTAAGATAAAGCATATACCACATAGGCACAAAATTTGGGAATCATTTTGCCTTGTTGACACTGTACAGATCAAACAGTCAGTGTTGTTACACATGTGTGAGGTGTAGTAGAGAGCACCCTCACCTGGGGATTGTATTTGCTGGGTTTCTCACCATGCTGTGCATGACATTGAATTAGTCACCTATGTTGGTTTGATTGCTTTTCTTGTATAAATCAAGAAAACTGAACTGAGTAAGGTATTTGCAGCTGTAAAATGTATAGATTCTATGAATTGTGCACATAGCTAAAATGCCATTAACTTTTATTGTCAGGCAGGTTATGGATGTGGTTAACAATGGAGATCTTTGAAAGTATGACTTAGCAAACTTCTGAGCTAAGACTGAGCGTGAAGGCTATCAAGATATGGTCCATGTCCTCATTGGAATTAGAAGTATGACCTGCCCACAAGCAGCTTTGTGTGTTTATTTGAGATTAATTCATGGCATGCACATGCAGGCGTTTCACGCACAAGAATACACCTTGTGTGCCCTCCCTAGATATCAAGTCATGTACATAACAGGGAAAATACGAATATTGACTTATTCCCAATGAAAGCTAACCTAAAGCTCAGTTCTTTTTTTGTATTTTATTTGTTTGTTTGATTATTTATTTAGACAGGGCCTCACCATGTGGCCCTGGTTGTCCTTGAACCCATGATCTGGCTACCTTAGCCTGCCATGTTTTGTTTTGTTTTGTTTTTTACCGTATACTGGTATAGTTTTCTTTGTTCGTTAAAAAGGTATTTTCCTTGCTTGGGAATTCCACCTTTAAAGATCTTGTGGGGTTTTTTGTTTTTCTTTGTTTATAAAGTTATGCAAAGAAACTAATGCACTAAATTACCACCAGTTGTAATTTTTTAGTTTAGCTAGACTTCGATTTGTTATTATCTATCCATCTTTTGATTGCAATTTCCTTCTGTATCATTGGAGATTCAGCTCTGGAACATCATGTCCCTTTCCCCTAAGTAAGTTCAGTGTATAAAAAATACAAGTCAAAACCAGATTGTTTTTAGAGGAGAAACACCTTAGATACACAGATAAAAATGGTGGAAAAAAAGTTATATGGAACAAGAATTTAATAACAGGTAGAAACGTAACATTTTTGTAGATGCTCTTGTATATATAAGAAATGTCACTTCCATTAGAATGTACATACATTTCTTGCAATTGCAAATATTGTGATTGATCAAGAGAGCAGATATAGTGTTTATTTTGTGTTAGTTATGGAAAAAATTGGACTTGTTAAATGTACTTTCTTGAAAAGAAAAAAAAGTTGAAAAGAAAGGTGGTCTAATTTCTTTAACATTTAGTACTGACAACAAAGATACTGTAATTTTAATCAAGTAATCAAGTACAATATTTTTGCAGCAAATAAAACAGAAACAAAACCAACCCCTCCCCCCAAAAAATATACAAAGTGTAGCATTTTGAAAGGTAACCTCCCTGGGTATTTAACTGAGTATCTTCTGTATGCTTAGTACTGTGTTTGGCACTTACAGATACTGACCAAATAAAAATTTCCTATGCCTGTCTTTTGGTATCTTTCAGATTTTAGGAGAGGTAAAATAATCTTACAAACTATGTAACAATGTAAGGTATGAGTAATAGATACTATAGTATTTTAAAACTTTCCAGGAAGACATTATAATATTATGAGAAAGAGTTGCATAGGGGAGGTTCATGAAAGAGATGCGTGTGTTAGGACCTCAGATACAGAAGGTGGAAAGATGACTCACTGCTCAGCTGCACTGATGTGAATGTGAGAGTCATTGGAGTGTGGAGAACAAGATTGTTACGTTTGGAGAGGAGTTTCAAGTAAGGCATAGTAGGAGATATGGTGAAGTCTATAGGTACATGTAGAAGCCACCAAAGGTTTTTCAGGAATAACCAAACACAAGCAGTTTTTAATTTTTGTTATTTTTTGGCAGTACTGGGGTTTCAACTCAAGGCTTTGTGCTTGCTACACATGTCTTTTGAACTCATGTCCAAAGGCTGAGCCCCGAGAACAAAGGGGTCTCATCTCATATACCCTTGCAAGTAGTTTACAGAAGCAAAAAGCAAGGTCTGATCCATATATGGTTATATTCAATTCTATAGGCTACTTTATCCTAATGCTACATAATTTTCCCCCTCCCCAGTGCTACGTGACCCTCTCCATGTTCAGATTCCTCAGGTTTTATCTGATATGCCATCCCTACCTCCCTGCTACTTTATCAGAACTCAGGTCTAGTCTGTTTTCTTCTGATCCTCCTCCCTGCTATACTTTCTACCATAACCACCACGACCATTACCTGCCCTTCACTTTCACTTGAATCCTCTTTTTAGATTGTCAACATTGACATCTTTGTTATCACCAAAATGGGTGAACTGATCATTAGCCTGGCCTACACTGAGTTCAGTAGAAATTTGGAGTCAGTCTTAAATCCAGCTTCACAGTTTACCAGCTACGTATTCCTGTGTGAATTTCTCTAGGTCTCTGATTCCTCTTCTGTAAGATGATAGTGACAAGTCTTAAAAGATAGTGTTTGTAAAAGACCCTTTGCCTAGCCCCATCACTCAGTAGGTACTCAGGAAACAGTAGCTTTTAACTATGAGTCTTCCCCGCCCCGTGTCACCCTCCTTCCATCCAGTCATAGGTGCTCTCAAGCATGCCTTGCTTCACCTCTGGCATTTCCGTACCATGTAATGGTTCAGGCCCAGTGGTCTCCTGCTGCCATTCCCAGGCCTCCAGTGTATGCATTGCCAGGGGCGTTGTTGAATAGATGTGATCAAGGATAATTCTCAAGAGGATTTGTAGGCTCTCTGGGTTCTTCCCAGTTTCTCTCTCATCTCTCATTACTCACATTGCTTTCCTTGTATGCAGTTTTCCTTGCTCTTCTTGTATATGGTTTTCCTTGCCTGGTAAATCCCCTCAATCTCTACTGTTTTCTTTTTAAGCCTAGTTCAGACAGTTTCCTTCTCTCCCGTTGAACTAGACTCCTTTCTGTCACCTTGATAACTTGTGGCTCCCTGGTGAGTAACTTTGTGTTGATGAATCAGGTTATTGATTACCCCGTAAACTTTTCTCCAAATTAGACAGTCAGATGGAGAGAACAGGCAGGTCTCACTCTATTAGTTTTCTCTGTTTTGGTGTTTATCAAACTATCAAATGCAAGCACTTGCACACATAACCCAGTGAAATTCCTAGGGGCAGTGGCTGCTTTTCATGGTTTTTGTGGTTAAGATACCAAACGCTTTATGAGAAGTCTTCCCAAATGTTTGTTAATAGCAAAGAACTCTTTGACTCTAGTGAAGTAAGCCATAGTTAGGTTGTAGAATTAGTATAAAAACCATTTTTTAACCCCAGCTACTACCCTATTATTTTTACTTTCCAACCTAGGATTGAGAAACATCTTACCTATTACAACAGCAAAAGTGCCAATTGTGAAGTTCTTCCATTTGAGAAGTGGTCTGGAAGTAGATATCAGTTTATATAACACATTGGTAAGATTTTTCTGTATTTTTTTTTTTTTTTTCAGCACTGGAGTTTTAACTCAGGGCCTCATGGTTTGCTAGGCAGGCGCTCTCCCACTTGAGCAATTCCACCGACTTTAGAGTATAATTTCCCCTTTTTTTCTTTTTCATTTTATCATTTTTACATTTACTCACATGTGTATACATTGTTTGGGCCACCTCCCCTTCCTCCCCCCCCCCCATAATTTCCCTTTTAACAGGCACTTCACAACATGAACTTTTCTTTGGGCTTTTTCTTTGAGAACAAGGGGAATGAATGGCTCCTTAAAAACAAAAGAAAACCTCAAGTGAAATGAGCCATTTACTTCATTTTACTCGTTCTTTTAAGATTTATTTATGTGTGCCTGGCAATGTTCTGGGCTTTGGGTATAACAGAATTCAGTTAATATTAGCATCCACTTTGGCTGAGGATATAGCTCAGTGTGGAGCACTTGCTGGGTCCCGTGCCTAGCACCACAAAAATAAGTAAACTAATAAATAAATATTGAGCAGTTCTAGCATTTAAAAGCATGTACATCAGCATTAACTTAACCTGAGACCAGAGAGGCAGGCCTTTTTGTTTGCCTTAAACGTTGTTGTAACTTGGGGATAAGTATGTGTGTGAACAAACCTATGCACATACAGATGGGCACAGGTTAACCCTGGTGCATCCACCTCTTTTTTTAGCCTTATGCCTGGTTTGCTTCAGGGTCTTATGGAACTTCTGTCATCTCTAAGAGCATTTAGTTATAATAATGCCATGGGAAGGGGAAACCTTATGTCTATTTAAAGGTAACTGATTCCTTATTTTTATTTTATTATTATTATTTGGTGGGACTGGCATTTAAACTGAGGACTTTGCACTTGCAAAGCATGCATTCTACTTCTTGAGCCATTTTGCTCTGGTTATTTTGGAAATGGGGTGTTGCCAATTGTTTGCCCAGGCTGGCCTTGAACTTTGTTCCTTCCAGTCTCAGCCTCCCAAGTAGCTGGGATTACAGGCGTGAGCCACTGCACCAGGCTGATTGTTTACTTTAATAGTGCTTATTTTCTGGAAGTTCAGACTAAGGTCATATTAATACGATGGAAGTCACTTAACAAAGCTTGTCTTGAAAAAAAAAGTTAATCTCAATCTAAATGTCTCCCTAAAATGAATCACAGTGTAAATCTTTCCAGTTTAACATTTTTTTCATCTAATTGGTAGCCTTATAGTATAATTTCCCTTTTAACAGGCCCTTCATAACACAAGACTTTTATCTGCTTACTCTGCCATTGATCCCAGGGTGAAATATTTGTGCTATACAATGAAAGTATTTACAAAGGTGAGTGTGCTTCTTGTGATTTATCAGGATATTTCATTGCATCTTCAGCCCTTATTGAAAACCCAAGTCTGTAATTTTTTTTTTTTTTAATGAACCATAGCCATGTCAGTGCTTCCCAGAAGTATTTGGGAGTCACTATGCACAGCTAAAATTTGATTGTCTTACATTTTACATGATAATATTATCTTGCTTGTGCCTAACAGCTCATTCCTTTGTTGTTTTCAGTTTGGTTTGGTTGAAATTGTTTTATTTTCTTGGCATATTTTATCCTTTGAAAATATGATTTTTATATTACATCCCTCAGTAAGCACTATATTTTTATTGATAATAGGATGATTGCAGATTCAGCAGAAAAGACTAGTGACCTTTCCTTTGTTCTTTGTTTCCTTCCCGTAGATGTGTGATATTGGAGATGCATCTAGAGGCAGCTTATCCTCATATGCGTACACTCTTATGGTGCTATATTTTCTCCAGCAGAGGGATCCACCAGTCATTCCTGTTCTTCAAGAGGTATTCATAAAACAAAATTATATTTCTCTAGCTCTCTTGCCTCTCTAAAATTCTGTGATTCTGTAGTTAAAATTTTAACTAGCAGTTAAATTCCTAGAAGGTTTTGTATTAATGCATTAAGCTTTTAATCCATACTAATAGTTTAAAAATTAATTTCAGATATACAAAGGTGAAAAGAAACCTGAAATATTTGTCGATGGCTGGAATATTTATTTCTTTGATCAAATAGATGAATTGGTATGTATTGATTTTCCTACATCCTTGACTTAAAGTTAGCTGTAATATGCTGTAGCGTGGAGGGTCAACAGCAACATTACTGCTTGTTATATTCATTTACATTACAATAGTGGGAGAAAAAAAGTAGCACTTAGAGGCATTTCCTTTGGGGACTGAGGATGTATCTCACTGGTAAAAGCACTTGCCTGGCATGCGTAAGGCCTGTATTTGATCCCTGGCATTTTAAGTAAATAGATGTTTCCTCTGCAGTGACATTTCTACTAAGCCAGATGAATTTGTAGGCTCCATATCCAGTATTTCTTTAATACCTAATAATTCCAAGTGGTTAGGTTACTTTAGTCCAGGGGAACAAATTTTTGCTCTGTAGTTTTTATACCAAGAATTTGAGTTATAGAGACTTAATAATGACAGCATCACCGAAAGCTCTTAGAATTTATTTCTGGATTCTCCCAGTAATACGTTCTAAAATTTGTCATTGAAAACCCTGAGATCACCCTGTGTCCAAATCCTAGCGGAAGTGATTAACAAACTCCTGTAAATGGTAATTTAAACGAAAGAAAAGTTATATATTTATTTTAATGTATTTAAACTTTTCTTGATTAGAGATGTATCCAGATTTATTCCCTAAGATACAGATGAACATTGCTGTTAACACATTGCTAGAGAGCATGATATCCCTGTTCCCTTTTATTTCTAGTCTACCTACTGGCCAGAATATGGAAAAAATACAGAATCTGTTGGGCAGCTGTGGTTGGGACTTCTTCGTTTCTACACAGAGGAATTTGATTTCAAAGAACACGTTATCAGCATCAGAAGAAAAAGTCTGCTTACAACTTTTAAGAAACAGTGGACCTCAAAATACATTGTTATTGAAGGTAGAACCTACAAGTTGTGTTCTTCCTCCTAGCACAGGTCTTCAGGAGCAGCCCTGGCACTTTGCGCCTGCAGCCACACCACCCCCCTACCGCCCTTTCCACATCAGTCCCACTGTTCCTTTCCTCCAGTGACTTGTTTTCAGATGAACTAATGCCCTCAGGTGGGACCTTTCATAGGTCGGAAAGTCTTTGTTCACCCCGACAACCTTTTACTGTTGTTGGACACATACTGGACGATGAGGTATCAGTAGCCAGGAGTGGGTTCTAGGTAGTGGGATTGTTAAAACCTTTTTCATTGAGGGTTAGACAGTGCCATCAAGAATGAATATTCAGGATCGTTACTTGCTGTTGATAACTTTGACATTTATTTATTTGATTTTAATTTTTACCGGAAGGTTGCTAAGATGTGTATTGTATTTTTATTTTTGTGGTACTGGGGATCTAACCCAGGACTTCATGCCTGCTAAGCAAGGTGTACTGCCAGTGAGCTACACACCCAGTCCTGGTTATGTAATACTTAAAATATCATTTTCATATTTTCTTTTAATGTGTTAGGGTCATATTTATGAGGTTAGAACATCATTTATTCCTTCACTCCTCAAGCTACAACAACCTGCTCTTGGCCCTGGGTTAGACACAGGAAATATAGACATAAGCCATGGCTTCTGCCTTCCAAGAGTTTGCATTCTGTGTGCAGACTGCACAGGATTGCATTTAGGCTGGGATCCATGGGGCTTCTGAGGAGGGGCCATTCACACAGACAAGGAAGGTGAATCCTGGATGGTGTCCTTGACCAAGTGACAGGCTGTGTTAGTTATCTGAGAAATCCAACTTAAAGAGAAGAAAGGATGCATTTGGCTTCAGTATTTCAGAGGTTTCAGTCCTTGGTGGCAGGGCATGGAAACATCATGGTGCACTGGAAGTATGTTGATATTTATTTATACTAAAAGAAAAGGCCTTCTCCCCTACCCTGCCCTTACTGAATGCATATCCATTGGTGCCAATTTGTGGGGTTTTAATGAGTAATCAGTAATAGACTAAACTAAAAACATTTCATTCATGAATTTATAATCAGCTATTCTGGAGTAAAGTGATTTAAGTGGTAGTTGTCCTAGTGTTCTAACTGTAAAATACCTACCATTATAGAATCTCTCTTTAATAAAATGCAAACAATCCAAAATACCTCCATACACAAATAAAAATCTCCAGAAGAAAGTATGATCAATCTCACAGCAGTCGTTAATAGGGGAAACTGTGGAAGAGTCCTGCATGTCAGTAAACTCAGTATAAATCTGTTATTGTCCATTAAGAGAACCCTGGTAAGCAGAATGGTACCTCTATTATGTCCTTACTCCTTTTGTATATCCTGCAGACAGGCACTCCTCCATTTCCTCAAAAAAGGGGTCATGTTCTCTTTTTTCTTTGCCTTCTTAAATGTTTTAGGCATGTGAAGAAAATAGTTAAGTACCCAGACATGATGTCTAAATCATTAATTGTCGTGTGCATATATTAAGTCATGTATAAGGTAGTGTTTGGATTTAGAAGCAGTGCATGTGCTCCTGCTTATTTCATGAAACCATTTATTCTGACCTCAAACACGTCTGCATCCTTTTCATCTTTTCTACTACTTTCTAACTTTTTCTAAGGAGTAATATTACAAAACACATCATAGATACAGCTATTCTAAGATGTTTGAGATGCAAACATTTAGGATCACATGGGAATTTTTCTATGAAATTTTTCCTGGAAATTATATCCTGAGATCTAATAGTTACGGGTATGCCATTGAGATACGTGATGTGTCAGTTTTAGTTTATCTTCTAAGTGTTTATGGTATCCATGATGATTTATTTTGTAAAGTACCTTTTGAGAGACTTGTTACTTAACAGAAACACTCAGTGATAAAATATTTTAAATGAGACTAGGTGGCTCATGCCTGTAACAAAAAGCAAGACTCCATCTCAACAAACAAGCCAATGATCCCTGCCATGTGAAAGGTGTGTGTAGGAGAGTCATGGTCCTGGCCAGCCTGGGCAAAGATCATGAGATCCCATCTGAAAAGTAACTAAAAGCAAAAAGGGTTGGAGGTGCGGTTCAAGTGGTAGAGTGCTTGCTAAACCCCTCATTCAAACCCCAGTATGGCCAAAAAGAAAAACAAAATTGTTTTGAAGATACTTGCCTTCTTTGTGCATCCACAATGCATCAGCCTAATGTGTCTCTTTCCAAACAGTATTTTCCTGAAATTAGGCAACCTGTCATACATGAAAGATTTAACATGAGGACTTAAATATAAGGCACCTGTCTCTTGTCTGACTCACACCTTTGGGGGACAGTTTGCCTTATTTAGCATTATCTGTTACTCAGCTGTATTAGGGATTTTAAGATCATTTAATGTTTCCTAATTATAATTAGCTGCAATTATTGGATGAACAGTGGCCTTTCCTGTTTGGTTACCTGATTTGCTCTCTTTAATTTTTTCAGATCCCTTTGATTTGAATCATAATCTTGGAGCTGGATTATCAAGGAAAAGTAAGATACTTTCCTTGTAAATTTCAGTATATTCTTTTTTCCTTCTAATCCATTTAACTGAGTTCTTTCTCTTTTCTTCTTAGTGACAAATTTTATAATGAAAGCTTTTATCAATGGGAGAAGAGTATTTGGAATTCCAGTCAAAGGGTTCCCCAAGGACTATCCCTCAAAAATGGTAAGTTCTGTTAGAAATGCCAGAGACCAGTTTTCATACCCTTAACACCTGCTTTGTATGTGTTCAATGCTCTGAACCTGGTGAAGCTGGCCAGAATAAATGACATAATACAGAGCAGTTCCTAAAGATGGTGTGGCTTTTGTTTGTTTGGTTTGGATGGGTATGGGGGTTAAGTCAGGGTCTCCCCATGTACTCCTGGCTGGCCTCAAACTCACAGTCTTCCTGCTTCAGTCTCCCAGATGCTGGGATTACAGGTATGTACCACCATGCCTGGCCTCTAAAGACCTTTTTTAAAAATGTCCCTGTTAGAGGGTGACTCATAAGGAGGATGGGGAGAAATAGCACAAGTGGAGTGTCACTAAGAAGTTAATACTTTTGCTGCTGCTTCTGTTCCTTGGTAATACATACTAAGGAAACACATACCAGCACTACAGTAACGTTGAAAATGAAATCAAGAAACCACACACTTAACCCTGAGGTAGCTTCTCAGTGGAGAAGATGGGCATGAGATTGTTAAACTCTTGTTTTTCATTTGGTACCTTCTATTCCTGTTATCTCTGCCAGCCTTTATGGGAGGCTCTTGGCTTCATGCCAGCCTCATCCAAGCACAGGGTGTACAATCTGAGGATGTCCCCCACCCTCATAGGAATCTGGATTTGCAGCACAGGACTAGAAGAATTATGGTGTACTAGTGAACTGTCTGCCCCTATGTAACTCGACACTTGGGTTCTTGAGGAACCACACTCACTGAAAACAAATCAACATGGCATTCAAAAATTACTTCAGTGTAAGAAAAAACATTTGGAGACTAGATGATTTCATTAGGAATAAAGGTATTTTTCTGCAATAACTTTCCAAATAAAGACTTGGGTGTTTTCTTTTTTTTTTATAACGGTACTGGTGTTTCAACTTAAGGCCTTGCACTTTCTAAGTAGGTAATCTACCTTTTTTTGCAGTACGTGTTTGAACTCAGGGCCTACACCTTGAGCCACTCCACAAGATAGAGTCTCATGAACTGTTTGCCCCAGTTGGGTTCAACAGTGAACCTCCTGATCTTTGCCTCCTGAGTGGCTGAGATTTCAGGTGTGAGCCATTGTGCCCTGCTCTCTTACTTATTGTGAAACATACAATACACTATTACTGACTGTAGTCATCTCAATGCGCAGTGATTTCAGAACTTACTCCTCCTGACTTTCCAAAACTTTGTATACTTTGATCAGAATCTTCCCATCCCCTTCCTACAGTAAAGACTTCTTGATGAACCTTAACTGTGGCTGCGTAGGTAGTGAACATTTCATTACATCTGTGTGTCTGCTTTAGGCCAGATGTTCCTGTGGAAGTCATATACACTAGTGTTTCTCAAACTTGTTCAAACACATTGCCTGGGAGTTTTTGAAAAGGCAAACTCTGACTCAGGAGGTATGGGGTAAGGCCTAGGATCTACATTTCCCACACGCTTCCAGGGACATTGCAGCCCACCTCAATTTTAGTAGTGAAGAGCTTGGTCCAGTCCATAGTCTTCCTTTCTCAGTTATTTTTCCTTCAGAAGCAATAGCAGTCTTTTCCTTACTATGTAATGTGCATAATGCACAGTTCCTTATGTGGCCCTTGTACCTCTCTCAAATCTTGTGGGCACTGAATCATGGGGATGTATAAGGCTCTTATTTATAAGTGTGCTTTAGACCTTAGGGTGAGGGCTGAACAATGCTCCTCTGAATGAAGGGAATAAAAAGAACTGGATTTAATTAATGTAAATCCATCCTGATTAGACCATGCTGTATAAACAGTGTTTCTTAAAAATAATGATGTCGATATTGAGATATAAGAGCACTCTTTAGTGTTTGTTTTTTGTGTGTTTTAGTCTCACATTAGTAGTTACAACTTTTATATGCTTACTTTCTCTAGGAATACTTTTTTGATCCAGATGTGCTAACTGAAGGAGAGCTGGCCCCAAATGACAGGTGTTGTCGAATTTGTGGGAAAATTGGACACTTTATGAAGGACTGTCCCATGAGGAGAAAGTAAGCCAGAATTCACAATGGCGGCTTTGTTTTTATTTTCTTGCTGTCTCAGTTTTTTTTAAACCACCAAAATGATTTTATTTTTGTCATTGACAACATGCATGACATGCAATTGTATTGTTCAGTTTGGGCTCTTAAATATTACTTAGTCATGAAAACGTATTTTTACATTTAAAAAATGTGATACACTGAAGAAGGCATCTGTAAGCACAAGCCTTTCTTGCTGTGAAAGCCAGTTTTCAAGCTTCTTGACATCCCAACAGAGCACAGCAGCCATGGTCTCCCTCACTCCTCCCCATTCACCCCAGCAGTCGCAGCACCACCTGACACTGCTGCTACTTACCATGGCAGAGGTGGATAAAAGTGATTATTATTCCTTCCTTGTTCTTTAATTTAGTTTATTGTTTTGGTGGTACTGGGGTTTGAATTTAGGGCTCTTGTGCTTGCTAGGTAAAAACTGTACCACTTGACCCATACTTCCAGCCTGGTCCCAGTTTATAAATGTGGTTCTGTTGTAACAGAGAAAATTAGCTTGCATGAAAATCAGCAGCTCAGATGAATTTAAGATTTTTGAAACGAAAGTGATGTGATTGAAATGTGGTTTCAGGGCTGCATGCAGTCACTTTTGCCTGTCCTCCTAGCCATATGGATCATGGTTTGAGGCCAGCCCAGCCAAAAGTTAGGGTAGCAGAGGCTCACACCTGTAATCCCAGCTACTTAGGAGGTAGAGATTTATCATGGTACAAGGCCAGCCCAGGCAAAAAGCTAGCAAGACCCTATCTCATAGAATAAGCCAGTTATGCAGGAGGCCATAGGTAGGAGGATCTCAGTCTGAGGTCAGTCCCTGGCAAAGTGAGACCCTACCTGAAGAAAAACTAAAGTCAAAAAAGAGCTATGGGTGTGGCTCAGGTGGTAGAGTGCTTGTCTAGTAAGTGTGAGGACCTGAGTTTAAACTCTAGTACCATTAACAAGACAAAACAGAACAGTTAAAACAAAAACCAAACAAAATTATTCAGTTCCCATCTCAAATAAGAAGCTGGTATATCTTGGTGGACAGTTATAATACCAGCTAGTCAGGAGATGAAGGTAGGAGGATGGCAGTCCAGGGCTGGCTTGAGCAAAATGCAGGAGACCCTAGGTGAGAAATAACTAGAAGCAAAAGGGCCTGAGGTAAAGTAGGCTATGTAGAGCACTTACATAGCAAAGATGAGGCCCTGAGTTCAAAAGCCCAGTGCTGCCCATAAATAAATAAATGAATTAATGAAAATAAATAAATAAATAAAAATAAACCAATGATAAACATAGCTCTAGGTGCAGATGATCAGGGCTATCTCATATGCATAGGTGGCAGCCTGGTCACGTTGGTCATATTCCTAGTTACTAATTAGCCATTCCAGAAAGGATAGCAGAAGGGAGGAAGGTAAACATCTTCCTGTTAGGAGCAGTCAGATGAGTCCCCAGAACCTCACCTGCATCTCTAGTGCATCAATACTGAGGTGAGGCTCTGGGGTGGGACCTCATCCACCCTTCATCTGTACTCAGCTTCACTCTTGCACATTGCTGTTAGTGGGTCAGCTGCTTGGTCTGGCACCTTGCTTTCTTCTGGTGATGTTTCTGGGAGACATCACCCAAGCTGTGCTTGGGACACACAGGTTTTGGGTGGTACTGTGGTTTTTAACTGGACAATAATATTCCTACTAAAAAACACACTACTTGAAATAAGTCACCATCTGGAATTGAGGAGTTGTAGTTAATACTTTTTTAATTACTCAGATGAAGGGCTGGTGAAGTGACTCAAGTGGTAGAGCACATGCCTAGCAAGTGTGAGGTCCTAAGTTCGAATCCTAGTGCTGCCCCCAAAAAAGATTTACTTTAAAAAAAAAAAAAATTAATTACTCAAATGACAATGATCATATAGGACAAAGTAGAAGATAAATAAATCTCCTTGTAGCCATTGCCAGCTTGTGACCTTAAAGTTTTACAACTGAGCTCTCCACTGCCTAGTGAAGAATGCTAATGTGCCAGAAAGGTTGTTCCAGAAATCACCCCACTGATGGTTTGTGTTTATCACATCAGTATCAAAGCAGGCCTTTAACTAGAGTTCCAGTAGTTGTGAAAATTGGTTTTACAGCACTTAAGCAAAAAGAAGTATAAACTGAGTTCCAGAGGACTGTTGGCCCTCTGTGTACCAGGATTCCATATTCATCATTCAGCCAACTGCAGATCAGATGTACTTGGAACAATAATTGCTGCAACTATATGGAAGATGTGCAGACTTGTTTTCCATATTACAACTTCACAAGGAAGAGTAACAGCTGTTCACATAGCATGACTATTATCAGTTGTCATTAGTAGAGTACATAGAAGGGGCGCATAGGTTATGCACACCACACCGTTTCATGAGGGACTCAAGTATCTGGATTTGGGTTTCCTGAAAGGATGAATCCCCTGTGGGCGTTGAGGTTGACAGTAGAAGATGGAGCAAAGCTTGTTAACTCCTTGGTTTTCCTTTTGATTCCTTCTATTCCTGATTTTAATCCTGGAAGTGTCTTGATATTTTGTTAGGTTTCCATTTAGATTTTTTTCCTACTGTTATTTTATTTTCAACAGAGTGAGACGACGGCGGGATCAGGAAGATTCCTTGAACCAAAGATACTCTGATAGTAAAGAAAAAAGAAGCAAGGAGGAAAAAGAAATCCAAAACAAGCACACAGAAAGGGAGGTATCAATAAAAGAAGAGAAGCCCATGCAGGGCACCACCCAGAAAGCGAAGCCAGTGAGGGCAGCCACTGACCTGGGCAGGGAGAAGGTTCTCCGGCCACCGGCAGAGAAGTGGAAGAGACAGGATGATAGAGACTTACGAGAAAAGCGCTGTTTCATCTGTGGAAGAGAAGGGCACATTAAAAAGGAATGCCCACAGTTTAAAGGCTCTCTAGGTATGGATGTCCACCACACCTTGATGTTTGCACTGGCCTCTCAAAGGAACTCTCCCTGTTAGAGTTCTTTCCATGTTAGTTACATTTATTCCTTTAAGAAATGCATGTACTCAAAGATGATTGTGTATTTAAGAAAGGAAACTCTTCCCCCTCCTCGACCTGTAATTCTGATTCTCTATACCATTTAAACACGTATTCTGGGCTCATTTAGTTTTAGGAAAGTCATGTGGTGGGCTTTTCTAAGATTTTCAGTGAAAGGAAGCTGGCTCATGCGCAATACTTGTAAATGTAACCTGAGGAACCAGAAAACAAGCGACAAGTAGAGTTTTCCAGCTCAGTATCCTACTTTTGAAATCAGAGCACTGCTGGCCACTAGGTGGGCTGTAGCCAGTGTTGTCTCACGGCACACTGTGTACAGGTGAGCCACACTTTGTTCATCTGTCCCTGAAGCAGGTGCACAGAGAAGGGGTAGAAGGAAATATGCTGCACAGGCAACAGTTGCTGTCATCTGTAGAAGGCAGTTACGGAGGGTTTCAGCTTACCTCTTACCAGTTTAATAACTATTTAAGTGAGCATAATTATTCTTAGGATGAGGAAAAAAATACCAGTCAGCAGTTCAAAATCACCAACAAATCTGAGTTGGGTATGGTGGTACACACATGTAATCCCAGCTTCCTGGGAGACTGACACAAGAAGAGCATTTATGCCTAGGAATTCAAGACCAGCCTAGACAGTACTTACTGTGAGACCTGTCTGAAACAGAAGAGTAACCCTCAGATCTTGCCCTGTTGAGTTGCCATGACGAACTCTGAAAGGGAAAGTTGGTTATTTTTATTGAATAGGTTAAGTGTCCATTTTGATCAGTTTTTCTTCTTTTTGAGATACTGGGGGTTGAACTCAGGGTCTCTTGTTTGCTAGGCAAGCACTATACCACTTCAGCTAAGTTCCCAGGTTTTTGTTTTTAGTTTATTATTCAAATAGGGTCTTGCTAACTTCTTGCCCAGGCTGGCTTCCAACAGCAATCCTGCCATCTCCACCTCCCAAAGATCTGGGCTTATAAATTTTGCCACTACACCCAGCCCTGTGGTCACCTTTTTCACAGACTATTAAGAGTAAGGGCACCTTAGATATGTATAGTAAGTCATGATTTGCAAAGCAATCATTTACTGTGGCTTTGCTTCATAGAATAAGCCTGTGTTGGTGGGAGAAATTTGATGAGCATAGAAAAGCAGCTCTGGGGAATAGGTTTTGTTTTGTTTTGTTTTGTTTTGACAGTAGTTACTCTTGCTTCTGTCAACTTAATTGCATATGTTTGCATCCAGCATTAGAAAAGGGGTGCTTTACACTCTCCTTAGAGTACTGATTTTCACAACTTCTGGAACACAGTTAATACTCTCCCATTTTACTATATTCAACAATGCAGTGTATCTTGATTTTTAAGACAGGGAGTTCTTAGCGCTCCCATACTACTTTTTAAAGGAATTTTATGTGGAAAGAAATTATTTACAATTTTTTATCTAGATATTTATTTCTTAAAACAGGGCTGAAATGATTGTGGAAAGTACAGCTGTGACTAGTTCAAATGCCCTAAATTGTTCTTGCCCCATGTGCAAGGAACTCACAACTTTGCCCTGACAGGGCACAGATATCAGAATAAAATTATTTGCTTTTATAAGAAGAAAATGTAATTTTAAGAAATTTTACAGTAATGACACTTATAAGATTCATTGAACATCTAGTCAGGGTCAGGCAGGATCATAACTACTTTAAATGGATAGTCTCACATAACTCTCACAACAGCATTTTAATATTCCCATTTTCTCAATGAGAGAGTGCTATGCAGTACAGGTAAGATTTAAGGCAGTTTTACCAAAGTTATTTTTGTAGCTCAAGGTCTGTGTTTACAGGTAACACGTGCAGATTGTTCTTGTATTCCTCTTTGCTACAAGAAAGTGGTGAAGTGCCCTTAGCTTTGATGGATTTCTTCTTTCTAGTAGCAGGTTTTAATGTGTGCACTAATGCAGGTCTCAGAACTTAAGGGTGATGATTCTGGCAGCCCAGCAGGCAGCTGCAAATCAGAGCAGGGTGTTCCATAGCAGAGAGTTTGCAGACCTAGAAACCTGGCTTCATCTGTATGTAATACTTATACCTTACCACATCATATAAGCAAGATAAGAAGGGAAGGACAGGGCTAGAGTGTGGTGACTTCCCCTCAGTAGCAATTAACAATATAACCAGTTTCTTCCCATCTGACAATTATGCCTATCCCTGTTGTTTCTGTGGCACTTCTCATATCAGCAGAAAATCTTTCTGAGAAAGTTTGAGAACAAGGCTATTCCTTTCGATTTGTAGTAGGAACAAAAAGTGCTGCTTTGTTTCTTAGGTTTGTCTGGATCCCTTTCTTCACCTAGTCCTTTGAGACCAGCTGGTACATTTGTCCAGGTAAACCCAGCTCAAAACTGAGAAGGGAGCCTCTCTGTCCTGCTCATTCAGCCAACACTGCCAGCGCCTTCCTTCTGTCTGACCCTCACTGCTCCTTCCTGTGGGCTGGGCTGCACGTTGTGCTGCCTGATACTGTGCTGACTGTGTAGAGGCTTGCGGGGCAGGATTGCAGGGCCTTGCTGAAGCTCTCCTGCACACATGGTCTGACTTTCCAACTAATTTGCAAACTCCCGCCTCCCACATACCTAATTTTAGCTCTCCTGGGATATGGTTTTGGTTTTTAGGCTTTTCTGATGCTCTTCCTTTCAGTTTTATAAACCAGTGTATTTCATTTTTTAGGCAGTGCTTTTACATGAAGACAAAAAGAAACAAAAAACAACCATATTTTTGAGTCCCCAGTCAGGTATGTGGTTTTTAAAAAATGCGTGTTATTTTATTTTATGCATACTTTTACCACATGCCTACGAGACTGTCTTTGACAATGGTTTCCACAGGGTCAGACATCAGAATCCCTCAGGGAACTTGTAAAAGCACACTTGCCCTGCTTCCATCTTCATCCCCTAAACTTTTTCTTCAGTGTGCTTTTCAAATGTTGCAGGTGATTCTTATACCAGCCCCTGAATAAGAACCACAGTTTTTAATTATGTGTTTCTCTCCCATGCTTTTCATTTCTGCTTTGAAATTGCCAGTCTTGCCAGCAGTGTGTCTTCAGTGGAGATTGTTTCCCATACTCCAAACAAGAAGTAATAGCGTGACCTCCTGCACTCTACTCTCAAGCTGTTTCACTGATTTAGTTCTTTAGTAAATATTAAGTCCCTCGCCCTGAGGACAGTGCCTACGCAAAGCACCTTCTCTCATTCACTCTGTCAGGAGAGATGGACAGTAAAGAGAAATAGAAGCTAGTACTAAAGAGTAATCTTATGGCAGTGTAGCTTAGAAGTAATATGAAACAAAGTATGGGTAGGACAGTGGGGTATGGAAGTTTCTGATAAGTGACGTTTAGCAAAGAATCATGAAACGAAGGGACTGACCAAGGGGAAATTAGGTAAAATATGAGACAGAATGAGCCAGAGAGGATCTCAGGTCTGAGCACCTGAAGAGTGGAGGTTGATGTCATTGAGATGATTTGGGGAGATACAAAGGTCAATTTTGCAATTGTAGGTTTAGGGTAGCTGTGGGATTCCTGGGCAGAGATGTTGAGGAGCCAGGCATTTAGCTCCAGACTGAAGAAACAATTGTGAACACTGTCAGTGTATGGACAGTGTTTCAAGTCCTTGTATCCGAGTGAGGTCACCTAGCAAGTAAGTGCACTTGGGAAAGAGAAAGGAGACTGCAAATAAACAAGAGAGCCAAAGAGAAAAAGTGGTCAGAGATGGAGGAAGGAGCCAGTCAGATCCTAGAGTCCATACAGAAACAGTGTTTCTAAGAGGAGGGCTTGACCCCTGTGTGAACTGCTCTGATTAGGTGTAGACCAAGAAAACCTGCGGATTTGGCACTATGAAGCCATGGAAGCTTCAAGTGTTGAGAAAAATCTGGCTGCAGTAAAGTTGAAGAGAAACTGGAGGCTGTCTAACCTCAACCATGAGTGGGAAGGCCAGTGCCCCTCCCCGCCCAGGCCCTGGGGGGGAAAGATGATGAAAAGTTGGGGAGCTGTGAGGGTCTGAAGGCTTTTTTCTGGTATTTCAAGTGTACTTTTGACTCCTAAGAGGAAAAGGACAAAATCTGGGGCAGGGGAGTGGGAGGGAGTATGACATTGACTTAATCAAATTTTTAGTATTAAAATGCAACTCTAAAACGTGAAGTCAACATGATTCATAGTCTGCAGATACCCTCAGTAACTTTGTTTTTGGGTTTTTGGGAGGTTTTTTTTTTTTTTTTTGTGGGGCTTGCACTTGCTAGGCCAGTACTCTTATCACTGAGCTACAGCCCAGCCTGACAGCATAGTGTGGAACTTCAGTCCCAGTCAGACTGTGGGGTGTGGTTCTGGCTCTGTGAAGTTGAGAACCCTCTTTTTCTGGCACATGCCTGTTTCCTCATCTGTGCAAGGGGGTCACACATAAGTGGGGGGTCCACATAAAGGCACTTGGACCAGCACTTGCATGTGCGAGCAGAGGGCAGACTCATGGTGCTATGACTGCACTGACATTATTCCTGTACCGATTTTACACATTAGAGTCCTATTCAGAAGTCACTGCCTGTGCCTAGCCCTTGAAATGTGTTAAGAGAACATTTCAGATGTTTTCAGAGAGGTTTCAAAGTTTCAGTCTTACATCCATTTTGAGTTGATTTTTTGTACCGAGTGAGAGATAGGGATCTGGTTTCTCTCTTCTACATGTGGATATCCAGTTTTCTAGCACCACTTTTTAAGGAGGTGATTGTCTCTCCAATCTATGTTTTGGCACCTTTGTCAAGAATTTCATGATGAAATTTCTTACTTTGGTACAATTAATATACACTAATATTAAAAAAAAGTCTATGTAAACTCCCAATAAGAGGCCAGGTTTTTTTTTACCTGTGGAATGCACCAGAATATTCTATGGCTTGGCTATATTTGTTTTTCTTTTATAAAGTGGGGTGAAGAGTAATTGTAAATGGGCAGTTAGAAGGAAATGTGATGCCAGAACAAACCCAAGGTTTTGAGTACATGTCCTATCAGTTTTAGGGAAGAGCTCAGCAATAGCTGAGGATGAGGTGGGGTGAGGTGTGTATGCAGCTCAGTGATGGGAGTGCTGGAAATAGTTCTCTTAAAACTGTCCTTGCCACAAGCCTGCAAGCAGGCAAGGGAACACGTGGACCCTGTTTACCTAACACTAGTATTTGCTTGGTTACTTTGTCAGGATAAATCCTGACTTGAAAGTATGATCATGAGTATGCACATGTTGATTGTAGTGCTAATACTGCCAAATTGTTAGCAATTCGAGAGAATCAGTGACAACTGTTTCCCATACTGACTTCATTGGCTTGCCATTGGACTCTTTCTTTGCATGTCTTCATATTTATGTTTGAGTTTTGGATCAGAACATTCATCTCTATTTCTACATAGGAATTCATTCATGCTCTGTCAGACATGTCACAGCAGTCTTCACAACCACCAGCTCTAGTTTATCGTTCTTTAGCCTCACCTGGACGTGTTTGCCATGCAGATTGTCCCGTAGATTACATAAAAGTTTGCTCATGTATCAGTTTTGGCTTTTTACATGCAAAAATTTTATATCAAGTACAATGAATTTTTTATATGATCGTTAAATATAATTTTTTTTTTCTGGTTCTGGGTAACCCAGGGCTTCCATGCATGTTAGGTGAGTACTCTCCACTGAGCTACATACCCAGCACTAATGAATAACAGTTAGTGTAGTAGATTACATGCTTAAGTGATAAAGTAGTAACATCAGTAGTATTCTTAAAGAAGTATTTAAAATTTGGGGAAAAATATAAAACAGCTACAAATAATATAATGACCCGACTTTTTGTGGTTGGCAGTTTTGTTGCTTGTAGTACTTGAGATTGAACCCAGGGTCTCCTCCTTGCAAGGCAAGCACTCTATGACTTGACCTAATCTTCCTTTGTAAATAAAAGATCACTAAGATGATTGGAAGTGCCCTTGGATTACTATTATCCTGCCCCATTTCCTCGGTTAGGTTCACTTCACCCTAATCTCAATTATCTATTATTACATAAGTTTAAATATCTTTCTGGGGCTTTTTAAAAAACTCCTAAATATATGTCCTTGGTGAATTTTTACATTCTAGTGGCTTATTGCAGAATATAAGAATGTTCTGCAGTGTACCTCTTCATGTCTAGTTAGCAAGCAATTTAAAAAGTTTAACGTGTTCCTATACATAAATTTAAGGATTTTTATAGCATTCCATCATAGGAGTACAGAATATTCTATATTTCCACTACCCAGTATGTGAGCCTTTACATTGTGTATGGGTTTTTGTTGTAACAAACAGCACTTGGGTGTGCATCCTTGTGGGCCTCTCCATGAACTTGAGCTTTTGTAGTTGCCAGTTATCACAGGGTCATAGTGCCGTACGTTTATCAGATACTACTGAATTACTCTCTTACTGGTTCACACAGTTGAAGCTTCCACCAGCAGGATGTGGGTTACTTCCACATATCCTAGAACTTAATTTGTCAACATTTTAATTTGTGCCAATTCGATGGATGAAAACTACTGGTGTTAATTTTCACCTTTACTTTCTTGACTCTGCTCAGTACATTTTTTTTACCTATACTCCTGCCATTTTTTTCTCTTTCATGTATTGCTTTTTCTTCACCTGCATATCTTTCAGTGTTCATCTTTTCTGTATTGGATTATAAGTCCTTTAGTTATGATGATGTGCTTAAGAAATAATTTTTCATCCATGATTTTATAAATACTTTGAATTTTTTATATTTACATTTAACTCTGCATTTCATTTAGAAATGAGTGAAGGAAACTAACTTCCTTCTCTCCTTCAAACATTGTATATTTGACATATATCAGTTACTGAATAACCCATATTTCCCCCATCATTTGAAACACAACCTTCTTTACATATTAGTATGTTGTTATACATAATTTCTTGAAAATTCCTCAAGTCTTTTGCTTTATTGGTGTATTTATTCAGACTCCTCTCTTTATTCAGTAGCTATCCTGTGTTTTGGTTGAATTAGTAATTCTCATTTCAGTCCTTCACTTGTAAATAAATTTTATTTTTTTCTTTTATGTCATTTTCAATAGTGTACTATCATCATCCACAGTTTTATATATGTATAATAATGATGAAAGATACTTATTTTTATAGCCAGAGAATTCTTTGAAGTCTGTTCTGTTTGGTTGCAAATGAGGACACTGACTTATGTGAAGAACTTTCAAGCTGGGTCCCCGTGGTTCACACCTGTGATCCTAGCTACTAGGGAGACTGAGATTGAGAGGACTGTAGCTTGAGGCCAGCTCCCCCCTCCATTTCCAAAAACATAACCAGAGTAAAATGGGCTATGGAGGTATGGCTCAAGCAGTAGAGTGTCTGCTTTGTAAGCACAAAGCCCTGAATTTAAACCCCAGTCCTACCCTCCTGCAAAAGAAAGACAAAACAACAACAAAAAACTTACACCTGGCCCTTTGAAATAGTGGACACATAGAAATAGTGGACATGCAAATGTGTCAAAACAACATCACTCTAGCAACTTGCCTGCATTTAAAAGAAATTACTAAGCATATGTTTAATATATGTCATATGTACTGTTTTTTATCTTGCCTAATTGATTCAAATCAAGCGGTCATTTCTAGTGTGGGTAGTTTCTGTAAATAATTAACAATAAGAACGACTTTTGGTATGGTAAAGCTTGTTATACTTAAGTTGGGTTTTGTTTTCTCCTCCTCTAGGTAGCCTTTCCAGTAAATACATGACTCAGGGAAAAGCCTCAGCGAAGAGGACCCAGCAGGAATCATGAGGGAAGAAAATGCAGCACTGTCAGTGCCACTCAGGCCTCCCCCGTCCACTTGGAAAATTAGGTTCATTTTACAGGACACACGTAGATCAGGCTTCAACTTAACATTCAGGGAAATGTTGGATTTTTAATTTCATGAAATTGCTAATGAGGAAAAACAATTTTAATATAGTCTCACCTACCATCAATCCCCAGAAATTTAAGGATTTTAATAGAAAGCCATGATGTATGTATTTACGCCAGGTTAAAAAAAAAAATGTAACTATGGGCCAGTATTCAATGAATACAGCTTTGTGGTTTTTTAATTCTTTCAAAGCATACTGAATATGGTGTGCTGACAAATCCCAAGTAAATTAACCCCCTTCCCCCTATAAATCCCTTTTTTGTTTCAAAAAGGGGAAATGATATTTATTGTGTGGAAGCATATGAAATTGTGTGAACTGCTACTGCTGTACCCAGTGTCTGCAAACATGATTTTATTCTCCTTATAGAAGAAGTGGCAACATGAACACGAACACGAACACGTGTAGCTGTGGAGCCTTCGCTGGTACCCAGTGCCACGGAGACATCTCCGATGTTTCCCTCTCTAATTTTAAGTCTGATGACAGAACTCGCTACTCATAAAAATGAAGTCAGGAAAATAAGTAGTCCTGTTTGCCAGTAAAAACACATTTTGAAGAGAAAAATGGTAGAATGCTTTTTACTTTTTATGCTATTCAGAAATTAGGATGGAGAACTTTTAAGAACCTCTGAGAATGAGAGGCTGTCTCTGCAATCCCAAGCCTGGTTGGTATCATTCTGGGTGTGACTGGAGCCCTCTTGGAACTTTGTTTAACTTCACAAGCCTTCCTGAAGTAGTACTTGGTCAGAACTATGCCTAGGTTTATTTATCATTTTGAAATAAAATCAAACTTTCAACCTGTAATTTTACTCACATTATTTTCTAGTGAAAGTCCTGAGTTTCATTAGGAAAATAAGGAGTTGGCATCACACATCTCCTTTCATAGGATGTATGCGTTGCTCCTCTGTCCCTGGCCACTCACCATGTGCCAGGTACTGGGGGGATACTGGTGTAGGAGGACAAGCTGAGGGGCAGGGAGCTCTCTGGCAATGTCCTAGATGGCAAGGACTCAGAAGATACATGCTGTGTGCACTGATTTTTAAAACTATTATTTGGAAACATACTTCAGCTACAAAAGAATAATCAGAACTAAGAACTTCACGATTTGGAAGTCATGGTAAAAAAAAATTTAAATTAGCGATTGTTGCTGGGTTTGAACATATACTCATGAAATGTATGACCTGGGCTGCCTGATCCTCTCTCCTTGCTGCCCTTCTGGTTTCTCCTGCCTTCAGTCATGCAAGAGCCTGGCCATGTGGCTCTACTCACACATTGAAAAGCAGAAGAGCTGACTGACAGCAGCTTAATTTTTGTTCTCTTGTAGCTTGGTGCGTCTGTGTTTTTCTTAGCCCTATAATTAAGAAACAAAATTGCCTCAGATCTAGAAATATGTCTCCAGTGACTGAAACAAAAGTAAACCAATGTATTTTCATACTTTTGGCGGGGGGGGGGG